TTTTGAAATTGACCGGATGCTCTGTGCGTTTCCTTGTCTGACTTCCTGTCCGGGCTGTCATATTCTGTCCAGCTTGACGCGAACTTGCAGTGTACTCCGGCGAAAATAGAATCGCTGCGTAATTGAAACGGAGCAGAGCGCAGTGCCGTCGGTGGCTCGAGCCGGAGACGGACCGCAGCGCGTGTGCTGTGTGAACACAATGATTGACTAGAGTGTAAGCTAAGTCCCACCTAGTGTGCGGCGCTGACGGACCGCGGCGCGCACGGAGTATGTGTGAATTGGGATTTAGACCCCACGGTCTGCCGATCCGCTCTGTCGTTATTGGTCAGTTGCTCAGCACATTTCTTGGAAATTTCAACATGAGCTGCAGGGCTTGCCACAACGAGCCAATGGGCTTAGATCAGTGATCTCACACTGACAATGACGTCGCACTGACAAATTTTTATTGAGGGGGGATAGAACCGAGCATTACATGCAGCTAATGCTACAGCTAACAGGAGGACGTAGGAGAAGTCGCGTTTCCGCATACTTTAAAATTTTGGCACATAGATGTGCCTAAACATGCACAGGACACTTGGAAAACACACTAAAGGGCATATAAAACCAGAAAAAGCATAATATGGGACCTTTAACACTGATGCTACACAGTTGTTTCTTAACAATTTTCTTTAGATTTGACCAACTAGACGTTCATGAAAGAAAGTTTTGTTGTTTTCCCTTCTTAGTGTCTTTTTATGTTGTATTGATGGTTGGTTGGATGTATGTATGTTTTACTGCTGACTCATGATCAAATTGCTGTCTCACTAGGGATAAAAGTGTGATTAGCTCATGTCAGCACACACTGTCATGGGGGTGAGATCACTCATTGGTTTTGATTTGATGAAGGATGAGCGTTTGTCACAATAAGGCTCTTAGTTGACCTGATTGATAGGTAGGTGTGATGAGGCGGTTTGTCAAGGGGCTTAAAACCTGCCTCTGCTCCAGCTCTTGAATGGCTCTTGATGGCCAGTGTGACCGTGCCCTTAGCCTGTTATTAGATTGACTAAAAGTTTGGTTGAGCCAGCATTTCCAGCATGGCAATCGCCACTGATGGGACTCCAGCTGTATGAGAGTTTGATGACGTCACTCAGGCTTCGTCGATTCATATTTACAGTCTATGGCCATGACATGCAGCAAAGCGCAGAGGGGTCAGAGTAGAACACTCGCCCCATGAGGACCCTAGCCTCTGTACATGAGACGTGCATCCTAACTTCAAGCCAACCAGCGTTTCAAGAGACTGCAAAGACAACACTTTTCTTTTGGCAAAGATTTAAATAGTATTGTGAGCGTGAGGGGTATTCAATTTAAGTCTTACCCGTTTTGTTTGGATGAGATTTGATAGCTCAGAATTGCCTCATTGATTACATAATTTATATTTATAACATGACATATGCACTGTTCCGGGGTCACAAAATTGTGAGTTAATACCCCTACCCAACGTGAGAAAAGGGAAATATTGAGGTCCATACCTATTAATACTAGGGGTGGGGCAGAATATTGGCAATATATCATCATCCTGACTGGTGTTATACAATCATCAAATTGAGTCAAACATTGATATCGTTAAAAAAAAGAAAGAAAAAAAAATATGGCGCTCTAAACAAATTCTCTTGCCAATTTGACTAACCGAGTCATCACTTCATGACTCCTCATGGTGTGCTTATGACATGGATAAGGGTTACGGGAACTGACGTTGAATGGTCGAAGAAGTTCACAGCAGGATAAAAAAGAAAAAAAAGAAGACAGCAGTATAATGTCAGTCAGCGGTGAAAAGATGAACCTTGATTACAAGTGAAACTTACACAAAATTGCAGTGAAAAAATACATTAATCATACACTCTGCATTTTTAAGGAGCATTTTCTATCCTTCAGTTAAGTAGATATTAGGTTGTACGATTAAATTATTGCCTTGCATTTTAATCAATTATCACTTAATGCATTGTGGTATTATCCCTATTGTGGGCTGCATAACTTATCGTGAGTTACCATTTTATTTACCACACACAATGAAAACCAATGACTTTTTAAATGAAACTTAATCACCTTCTAGCCCTGAAGTTTAGCTATTTTCATGCTTTGTCTGTAAGTACTTTTTAGTAGCCACGGCTCTTTCCCCACAATCTGCTTTTATCCTTAATATTTCTTTAACACTTCATTTTTGCACTTTGGGTTAATTGGAAGATTGACAGATCCACAGATCCACATATGCACATTCAAGCAGGCATCCTCAATAAAGATCAAGGACTACTTTACAGCACTTTCCCAAATGAAAACCAAGTGACTTGTTTTGCTTTGCGTGTTTGTGAGGCTGCGGAAGAATCTGTCATATTTTGTTCAGAGAAATAACATCATAAAACAGAAATAAAACTAGTCAAACAATCATGACATACTATCACTTAATTGAAACAAACTGACAACAAAACACAACAAAGTGGAAAATGTCAAGGCCTGGTGTGGAGTACGTTCATCTTTGCTGCACTCCACTTGCAAACTAATACGTCACAACCCCTCTCCTGTGGATTCTCAGTTTAAAAATTGAGGACAATCTCTTTACAGATTGAAGGAATTGCACAAGAACATGAGAACTCGTGCATTGGAATTCATGGTGAAATGCTTTATATGTCCTTAATTACTGATACAAACTATAGCCATAGGCGTATTGCTTAAAGTAAGTTGGTGAATTAGTCACAAATGCTGAAAGCTGCTCTCTGTCTCCATGACAATTTAATTAGAATCAGTCACGACTTTTGCATAATGTGCTTTGACTCAGATCATCCTGCTCCTGGGGAAGCTTTTTACACACCTCACTTTGTGTCGTGAGCTTGTGTTTTCACGAAAAGGTAAAACATGGAGGAAGTTTGATCAAACATATATATGTTTTGGACCTGGGATAATGGATAAGAAGCCCTCTTGTAGTTTTAAGGAAAGTCAGCCTGAATAACTACTTGTTTCCTCCAAGTCAATCCCCCAAATAAACCATGATTTAGTTTTTCTCACTGAAACAGAGGGAAGAAAGGAGAGGAGAGACAAACAACAAAGATATAATTTGATTCAAACTATATTAAAAGGCCTCCCAGTCTGTAATTATTTATCAGTTTAATAAGGTTGCTGGCTGTGTTGGTTGCAATGTTTTTTTTTTGTTTTTTTTTCCTTCAATATCTTTATTTAAATTGTTTACGGGAACCACAGTCCAGTCCTGCTCTCAAATCATGCTGTAACTCTTCTGCAAGACATCAAGCCAGTTCAAGTTACCTGGTTCGATTCCTATTAAGAGCTTAGTCCAAGGATCCTTCCACACCAGACTTCACAACCACACAAGGTCAAACACACACACACACACACACACACACATACACACACACAGCTATCTGCCAAGATATACTTCCTGGTGGAGGTTCAATGCCATCGATGAGCTTGGCACTGAGACTACACCCTGCTGCCCACTGGCTGTCTCTCTCACTCTCTCGCTCTTACTCACACACATACATACACACTAACCTCGTTTCAGCTCTATTTCACTCTGAATATACTGCTTAGCTTGTCTGTCTCAGTGCAGAGGTGTAAATGCATTTATGAGAGAGGGAAGGGAACAGTTGGAAAGACTTTAAGTGCATTGGGGAAAATGTGAACGAAGCAGAAGGAAAATATGATTTAGATAATATTTAGCAATGACACATGGGTGTTCGACAATTCCTCTCCTTATTTCAAAGTGCCCTAGAGAAAGCAGAGACACAAGAAGATAGAGAGTTAAAACAAGTAAGGTAAGCATAGAAAAAGCACCGACCTTGCTTACATGGGTGAGCCCCTATCTCTGGAATATCCCAAAGGGCGGTAAACTTGCTTAGAAAATAAATGCAAGCCGCATTGTTTACCTTGGGAAAGACCAAAATAGAAGTCGACAACAGTGAGAATGAGAGCTGTGTCTAATCAGAGGAGGGTGATTTCTGAAGCTGTGGGGGACAGATCTGCACAAGCGTTTGTCAGATCACAGGCTTATGAATTCCGTCTCCATGGGGAAATAAGAGCGATGAGGTGGCTGCCGTAGTCGTGCCTCAGACAGCACTGACTGCATGGAAATATGATAGTGGCTGTGTCACCGCTGCAGCTTTCGCATAATAGCACACAGCAGAATACAAGGGAGTGATACAAGCAGATGTAATCATGAGATATTTTGGGGAATTTTGTTTTATTACTGTGGGGTTTTTTCGATTTGGTACACTGTGTTGTTGAAATGGACAGTGTGTGTCAGCAGGTGTTTCGGCTTTCTGATTTAGCTCTTTTCTGATTGTTCATCAATTTGGCGTCCATCAGAGCAGCCCCACAGGGATAAGTCATAGAACGCAGGTTGCAAGATATTCTAACAGAATTTTAAGGAGAACATAGTGACCATATCCCAGTGTCTTTGCATTTCAATGTCACACATGTAAGACATCTTAAAGGGTAACTTAACCCTACCTGAAAATCTTGTCTTGGTTGACTTCCATTAGTTTCATTTCTCACCCTGCTCAAGAGATATAAAGGTAATTTCACAGGGACAGGGATAAGTAAAGGTGATGCTTGGTGTGTTGAAATGAAACAGAGTCTCTGGACTGTTAAACAAACACTGCTTTTTACTTTCCAGTTTTACAATAGCATTTTACTATCCAGGTAAAACTCCTGATTGAATCCTGCAATAAACACATCTCATCTGTAAAGCATTCCTATAAAGATATCTGTAGAATCCAGAGGTGAAATACAAGATTTTAGTAATGTAAGTGTTCTAGTTCTCTATCTGGATTAAGTTTGATGCACTGACTAATCCTTTTTTCTGTGGGCTGTGGGTGCATTTAAGGAAACAGAACATAAGTACAAAATATTTTTGAAAATGTTGGGGACTCATTGAAAACTTGCAGAACATTAGAGAAAAGCTAAAGATGTCTTGACACTAATTATTGGTGTTTCTTTTGTCTTTGCCTTGGCAGGATGATTCCGTCTACCAGCAATGACTTCTTGGTTCGGGATCTCGCTGCAGGACGGAACTACGATCTTTGTGTCCTGGCTGTGTTTGATGATGTCATCACATCATTGACTGCAACACGTCCTTTGGGCTGTCTGTCGTTCACCACGGACACAGAGTTCAGCCAGTGCCAAGCATTGCACAGCCACTTCCTTGGAGGCACCATGATCATCATCATTGGAGGGATTATTGTCGCCTCAGTGCTGGTGTTTATTATCATCTTAATGATACGATACAAGGTTTACAGCCACCAAGGGGCAAGCCATGGAAAAGGAGCCATTGTGGCAAGTGCGGCAAGACCGCAAAGCAATGGACAAGGAGGGGGTGGACAAGTTCAAGTCCTTCCTCACTCTGCCTCAAAAATGCCTGATAGTCAGGAGGACCAAGTGCTATCCCCTTCCAGGGCTATGTCGCCTAGCAACACACTGAGAGACACTGTGGCATTGGTTGAGGAAGAGAGCAGTGGACGGAGCACAATGACAAGGACTGACTCCTTGGCCAATGAGGAGTTGCTCTCGCCCACAAATGCCCGCTTCACCTCCAGGGTCGCCATTGAGATGAAAAGCAGACCGCCATCTGTTGCCAAAGAGCCCACCTCCCCCAAGGAACTGGCAGGTAGTAGAGGAAGAGAGACAGGGACTAAGAGATAGAGAAGCCAGTCAGCAGGGCAAAGAGGGAGCTTTTCATTGGGATGAACATAGGGCCAAAGAGAAGTTGACAGAGGCAAACATGCAAAGAAGGAAGAACAAAATAATACAGTTGAAAACAAAAGTGATGTAGTCTGAGAAATAGACAATGTGCACTTGAGGGTGTGAATTGCGCAAGATAATGACGGGGTGGAACCATGAGGAAGTGAGCGAGTGTGAATATGAATAAGAGAGATGGCAAGACAATGCACTGGCAAGACACATGCTCAATTTCCCATCAGTATTTACAGTAAACTCTTAAGTATGCTTTTTAAACAATCACTTCATAGTTTCTTTGACATGAAACAAGAAAAAGTAAAGTCTTCTGGCAGTGCATTGGGATTTACCGATAACCTTACAATTCCCTTACGCATTGATTTTCCTTTTCTGCTTTCTGCTCTTGCCACAGGAGATGTCACATCTTAACTCAAAATATTTTAAGCCTTTAAAGACGTTTGAGAAACTCTTGAGTTATTTTGCAACCTTGGTGCCAGAAATTACCCATTTTGACCATTGTCAATGATTTATTGGAGTAAAAAAGGAATCTATGTGGGTTGGAGTGTAGGAGTGAAACATTTTAAAATGCAGGTGGAATCACCCATCGCACCATAGCTAACATAATTCAGGTTAGCATTCCTGGTGTTCTCCATTAGGGTGCTACAAACTATTAGACTTCAAGCACCCCAAGGAGGCTTGTTGACCATTAGGAATGACACAACCAGAGTGCTGAAGAGTGAATAAGTTACAAAGTTACTTCAGTCCAACAAAGGCTACTTAAGGTTGCCCGAATCAAAGTCTAAGTTGAAAGGAAACAAAGACCCTAATTTTCCCTTTAGTTTAAATTAAAATATCTTAAGGAGGTTCAAATGAAATGAATGTGTGTTTTTGTTAGTCATAACAGAGTGTCCTGCCTTTGTACAACAAACCCTGTAAACCTTTTACTTCAGTGAATTCATGAATTCTTATGGAGCTGCACCCAAAGTTCAGATTCAGCCCCCCTAGGGTGCTCTCAATTTAAAACCAAGAAACTGGCTTTCGATATGGCTGGGGTGTAATTGAACCTCTCCAGGGGTAACAAAGCACAAACCTGCAGACACATTATTTAGTGGCAGCATGATATGCATAATGCACATGACAAGTGATGCAGTCACAGACATAATTAATGTATACATTGCAGTATAAGACAGTGCATGAAGAGAGGGCTTGGTAATAGAGTTAGAAATCCGCATTACCAGTAAAATGCAGTGTGTGGGCTGTAAGAAGCAAAGCAGTAATTGCAGGAAAGCTGTGATTTAAATATCCATACATTAATCTACAAAGACTCCTTCACAATGGTAGGAATGCTGTGGAAACAGAGGAAACCAATTTTTACATGATAAAATGGCTCAATAAAGGGTTTTATTATGGGTTATATAAGAGAGTTCAGACCAATAAAACCTTGGATGACCTTAGCAAGTGAATCAAGATTCATGATGGAATGCTTATTTTCTGATTTAGAAATTAAAAAGTCCCTCGTGTAACCCAAAAACTAATTTCAGTGAGATGTTTCAGTAAGTGTAAATGACACAGTCACAACCCAATTTGCTGGACTGTAAATGATTAATTTCCAGCTTTAGAACTATTTGCTCTACTTGAGCTTAGGCCCTCTTTTCAGCGTCTGCTGATCTTTTGCCTCTCGTGTCTTCTCATGTATAAGCGTCTTGTGCCAACTTGTATTTTTAGTTATTAAGTATTTTGAGCTTCTCTGGTAGTGGCCAATGGCTTACTGACAGAAAATTGGTTTTAGAACATCTATGGACTTTTGGTAAGACACAAATTGAGTGATAGCGGCACATTCTCACAAGTAAAAATGTAATATCATAGGATTATTATTGGGAGTTCCATGTAATAATGGAGGAGTGCAAAAATTGATTGTGGGGGAAGACATAATATTATGATATACTTACTTGACATGCAACAAACTCACAGTATATTGCTTTTATGTAACTTAGTTTTTGCCAGCAAAGGCTATTAGATAAAGTCTACTTTTTATGTAATCAGACCATGGCTCTTCTCATGAATCAAAATGGCTTGCACATGCTCACAAAGATCACTTGAAATGCCCTATAGTGCTTTAGTAATAATGGGGATCCACAAGGGCATTTGAATGTTCTTTTTGGGGAGATTTTCACCACACTAAACCCACTCCAATGCACTTTACCCCTTAACGCTAATCCACTCAGGAAATTGGGGTTTCATTTGATTGCATAAATGGAGACACACTTTCACATGAGTGGCTTAAACAGCTGAGTCAAAATACTTCATCAGCACTGATATGTCATTCAATTGGCCTCTCTGAATGGGTTGAAATGAGGTGTCATTGAGCCTCACATTGATAGAAGGGAGCAGATGAGGGATCTGTGCAGACTGAGCAGCTTAGCTGGAGAGTTCAGGGAAAGTGTTCACCTCAGTGAACTCTGCTGGATCGCTAGCCAGTCTGACATTTATAACACAATTAAGTTTGCCGGACATAGCTGAAATCCTATTTGATAATTATTTCATGAAAGAAGAGTCACACTGATTTTGATGGTGTCATGCCGCAAAGCTATCTAACAAGCTACCATGGAAGTTAACTGGCTTAAGAAACAGTATAATAGAGTTCTTTCCAAACTAAGCAGGGGGAGAAGTTTGGGCACATGTAGTTCAGCAAATGTTCTGCGAGGTTTATAGCTAAATAGGAGTCACAAAGTACTGGAGCTGAAGAGTGTTCATTATGGCTGGAACAGGGGAATCTTTTGGAAAACTTGGTTCAAGAACTCTCTAGAATTAAACTTTGTTGTCGCGAAGAGATGCCACCATATGCACAATCTGAAACACTAGTCCCCTTAAGGCTTAATTAACCGCTCTAACCTCATGCTAACCTCAACTAAATGACGTGACAGTCAAAGGAACTTCCAAAAGGCATCCCAGGCAACCACAAGACAGACAAACAAGACGGTTATTGTAGTTTTTATTTTTACCCAGAAGGATAAAGGTCTCCGCTGGCCTTTGTGCTTTTGTTACCTCTCGTTGGTTATGGGATTGTTGGAAATTTGAGGGCAAACTTCAACAGGGGATCATTCTCATGTTGGTACAAAGGCTGTTGGGTTTTCTCAGGGTGTAGCTGTGTCTGTGATGTGTTTCACTGGTTGCTGCATTGCAGAGAAAAGCAACATTGATCTGATCAGAGAGAGAGCCACAGTGAGTCAGAGCACCTGAGGAACAGAGCATCTGACAGATATGCAGTGAGACCCCATTAAAGGCCCACGGTTGTCAAATGGGTGACCTCACATGAAAAAATAGACACACTGTGGGTTATATTCCCCCTGCTTTGTATGGACTTTTCTGTTAACATTCATATAGGCCAATATAAATTAGGTAAGTAATTTGCAATATCAAAATATTATCTTTTAACCATTATTTTAGGATTTTTCATGGATGGAAAATATTTCTTGATGTATGGTAACTAAAGTATGTTAACCTTACAAAGGAAACATTAAATATTCTTCACAACTTTTTTTCTTCTAATTTGACCCTATTTTGACTTCAAAGAAGAAAAGTGAGCCATTTTTTGGGGGAATTTGTGGAAGTTAGTATCGATTATAGAGCTGTTACAGTCTCAAGTTGTATCCTTTTTCGTACAGAATTCTATCTTCTCTCTGCAGTGGGGTTAAAAAAGACATTTCCCACTGAAGCAAATAAAGAGAATATCTGAATCCAGCCATTAATCAAGTGAGAAGATCAATGAAGTAGTAGACACAGTCGAAAATATGTTTGGCACTCGTGTCTCCTCAAAATCTAGCTTGTGTCAGGATGCTTGTGTGGATTCAGCACTAGAAGCAGCTCTTTAACCTGAATACTAAGTGGGAAATTTTCTATCAGGATTAGCAGTAATTATATGCTTGACACAAACATATTATGATTATGTCAAGCAAAGTGCTATTAGTTCAAGAACAGCCAAGCAAACAGGGAGTGAGTGAGTGTGTGTGTGTGTGTGTATACTTGTTTTAATCGTGTTATGGGGACAAAAATCTCTACACAGTCACATTATGGGGTCCCCTGCAGGTGTATCATTAAGTATTTATTGAGAGAGAGTTACATCTAGGTTAATTTTAGGACAAGCTTCAGATAATGATTGTAAAAATCTATAAAAAAATAAACTCTTGAACGTAGCAAAAACAAGTGTTTGTAAGCTCAGGGTCCAGTACTGAAGCCTCGCAGGTCAGTGTATGCGTCTGTGTATTGTGATAAGGTTTATCCAATTTGAGTCACAAAATCATCCCACAAGGTGAAGCCAAACAGAAAAAATAAATTTCATGCAAAGAACAAGATGTGTGTAACTTTGTGCAAAGAGCATATTTGTGTTCTCCCAATGGCCCCTCCATGACCCTGTAGCCTGTCTGTCCTCGGTGTATCTTAATCTATCATCGCTCCTTTCAGTGTCATCCCATATGCCCGGCCTCATTCTTCACCTCTGTCTGTCTCTCTAAATCCATCTCTTCGAAAATCCCTCTCTCTCTCTCTCTCTCTCTCTCCTCTTGCTGTGTTTCTCAAGCTCTCTCTGTCACTTCCTCTCGTTTTTCTTCTTCACCAACTTCATGACTGTTCTGACATTTTTGCTTCCTTGTTCTCTCTCTCTCTCTTTACCCCAATTTTCAGTGCTGGTTTGCTGCATCTGTGTCACTGCCCCCCCCCCCCCCCATTTCTTATTGTCTCTCTCACTTGTTCAATGTTTCTCTCTTTCTCCATATCTGCTCTTGCTCTCTTTCTATCTCTCGGATGCCTCCAGCAGCAGACGACAGGCGCCTTCATAGTGTCGAATGGAGAGACTTTAAGATCTGAGCTCGTCCTCGCAAAGAGAGTGCGCCAACACTACACGCAAAGAGTAATGACTGGCACTAAAAATCTTGAGAACCTCCTTGATTTTGTTGCCTTCTCTAATGTTGTTATTCCCTTTTCTTCCCCGTGTTACTACTCCTTACCAGTCTGTCCCTCCTGCAGTTTCCTGAAGCACGCTGTATCTGACCATTTAGTTAGGCTTGTTTGATATCTAGTCAGGGTCAACTCACATAATAAAAACATTGTTTCTTTCCTCCAGAGATTTTGTGTGCTGAGGTTATGAGTTATCAATCTTTGAGCCTTCTGCCTGCCTCCACTAGAAATATAGAATTTCCTCTGTGGCTCTGAGAGCACAGAAAATACCATTTAAACATTTTAACAAGACACGTTACACAAGAGCTGAAATAACTAGCTGGTCTACTGATAACTAGATTGACTTTTTAATTTCTATTTAAATAATCATCATTTAAATAATTTTTGAGAAGAAATCCAAGTATTGTATCCAGCATTTGGAATGTGAAGATTCAAGGCTTGTTTATCTGATGTATTGCAGTAAATTGAGTTTGGGAAAAAAAATCAATTAATGTGAAGGCTAGCTCTTAATTCGGTAGAATGCTCAATGGAGCAGCAAGAAATTCAGCCAGTCTCACAGATGACTGGAGTTGATCGTGAAGTTTGTACTAATTGAAAAATAGATTTTGAATCATGAATCCAGAATCGTTTTTGAATCCAAAATAAATTCTGAATAATACCCAAAGAATAGAGATTTAATCGTCAGACACTCTCAACTTCTATGAATGTCTGAGCTAGGGGATCGGAGACAATCTTACATATTTGTGAGTGATTACAAAAATAATTATTGCAGCCTAGTGTCTCTAGTTATATTGTATCCATAGATCATATTTGACGTAGTTCAGCTATAGTAATAGAGACACTACTTAAATGCTTTGTGTGTTCTTTTGTTGTATTTCTTTGGATATCATAAGCAGTTCCTTTCACTTTTATTAATTGGTGTTGAAGCAGGAGTCTCTGGGAAGTTTAAGGCCATCTGCATGTCAACGTAGAAGAAAAGAAAACGGTTATTTATTTTTTGTTATGTGGGTGACCTGAAGCTTTCATTCAATGCCTTTGCTCCTCATCAGTAGTTTTTTTTTTCCCTTCATTTAATTATAACATTTCCCCTCTCTGTATTTGTCAATACTAATAATCTCTTTATTTCTTTGAACATCTCGTTTCAATTTTAATTAGTTGTTGCTTTTCAAAGTTTTCCTCGACATTTTACTCCACACCAAGCTTGTCCTTTTTTTCCCCCGTCTTTTCTAGGTTATCTCGATTGCATTAATTTGTATTGCTCAGTGCTCTCTATCCTGCTCTCTCCTTTCTACTTCCACATTCTTCTTGACTGATGCTCTGTATTTATTTATTGTTTCTCTTTAATCCTGCATCGGCCTACCTTTCCTATTCCTGTTTGTTTTCAATTTATAACACCTTTGTCTGTGAATGTTATTTCTCATTTCTTATGTCCTTTCTATCCATCTCCTTACCACTCACACTGCACTATCATCCTCACACACTGCCTTTCTCCTCTCTGTGTCGCCATCCATCTGCACCATGCACAGAGTGATGGAGGATAAAGAGGGGGAGAGAGGGGGTGATGGAGGAGGAAAAAGAGTGGAGATGTGCAGAATTGGTGACGGATGAACACGAACTGAGACATTAAGAAGGCTCTGCTTCATTCTTAAACTGACACAATAAGCATCGGCTGTACATAAATGTGGTTAAGAAATATTCCTCCTGACAAATACAGTTTAGAAACGCTCTCCTGACACAAGCATTACAAATAACAGCTTCTGCAGTATGCTACAACAGCAAGCACAGCTTCATCACTTCAAGCTACTGCACTTCTTTGCTTTCCCGTGTCAGCATGCTTCTCTTACACAGGCATTTGTTGCATCTCCAGATTACACAGCAGTGACATCCTTACACAGCTGTCATATATGAAAAGAACCAGATATGAAGACTCAAAAAAAGGAAAGACCTTCTAAGTAACATGACTAAAGCTTTTTGTTGACCAGTTCAAAAACACATGCAGTATTGTGCTTTCAGTCTGGGACGTGTCCAGAATGTTTTGCAGCCTATAAATATTAAATTTAATTCATTCTTTGCTCTGTGAAATTCAATTTGCCCTTACAAACGGCATGATATCTAGGGTTTTTGTGTTGAGTGTGGACAAATCGACATACTGTTTATTGAAATCACAACTCTCGAACGCTTGTCAATAAAGGGCTCGTGGTTAACTTAAGTCAGATCACAACATTTCAATCACAGCTGTGGATATTATTGATGCTCCACTATCTCAACTTTGTAAAACAAGCTAAGACGCTCTGTTGAGGGAGAAAAGCACGTGCCTGTGCCTTGTAGAGCACCCTCCTACCTTGTTCCTCGTCCGTTTACAGGAGCGACAGAGAGGAAAATAGAATTTGGGCTTCAGGGTAAATAAAGCGTACCATTTCACACTGCATTGCTCGACGGCAGTTAGGACACTACAATAGCAATAGAACTACACTGATTTTGTTGCTTACGCTCCCTTGTGTAGTTAGGACAGGCTGCTATGAAGGGGGGCCTGAAGTAGTGTGTCAAAGACCATTCATTTACCCTATTTTATCAAAAGGTAATTTTCTGAATTTATTTTAGGGTTGCATATACAAGTTCTTGCTTTATTTAATTACGCTTTATCTACTATACTTTGTCTCAAAAAGAACATGTTTCTCCAAAAGTCACATTTTAGTACCACTAAAAGACAATGTGTTGGACAGAAATGCTGCAAAAGCTGATTTCAGCCTGTTGCAGCCTAGCCCAATAAGTTAGTTCGAACACAAGGGCTCTATCTAATTGGGACGATAATATTGGGACGATAACTGCCAATAATAGTTTGTGAGGTGGAATCTGGGTTGGAAATCATTAGCTGTTAGTGGAATATTTTGTTGTCTATTTTTATCCTTTTCTCAAATCCTGATGTTTTACTCCAGATCCCTAATTTGTTTTTGTTTTAACCCCCTTGTTACAGAAGTTCCCTTTGCCCCTGATGTTGTTATCCTTGTATTGACAGTGCATCAAATGTTCTACTCCTAAATCTTACATTCTTTCTCTATTGTTTTCTAGAACCCTGATGACGTTGACCTGAGTGGCAGATGTGAAGAATAGACATCACCACCAGGGTGAAGCTGGTGCAAACTCTGAAGAAAAAAAGGCCCTATAGCTCCCCTCCTGTATCTCCTGTTTATTGTACCCATTTCTTTGTTTCCATGAGCACCATGCGGTTAGAGACCTGTATCGTCTGGTTTACTTATGACTGCTCATCTCGGTTCTTGTGACTGGATTTGTGTAAAGGCCCTCGATCCGTTGGGCTGTTGACTACCCAGTTGCTGCAGGATCCAGCTATTGGGGTGTACATCTTCAGTCAATTATATTGAAATGGAGCAGACTCAAATGCTGACATTTTGGCATTTCAACAACTGTATCAGTGTCGAAGCTGGTACAATGGCTAAACGTCATTTCAAAGCAACATAAAGAAGAAAATGGATATGTCAACATAAAACTAGAAACAAAATGTGAATGAACTGCACACCGTCTGGGAAAGCATTGACAGCACGGACAGATGCTGAAATGGTTGTAAAGAATAATCATTAAAAGTTGAATGCATAGATTATCACACTCAACCTGGATCTAAATTATGTTAAAGTGAGTAATATCACATAATATCTGGATGGGTCTGGCTTTGGATTTGAACATATGCTCAACACTCAACATATTATGGCTCTCTACCTGCAACTGAACTTAAGGGACTTTCAAAATAATTGGTGATCTTAACTTGGACTGGACCTGGTTCTCTCCCAATAAGAAGTCCAGTAAGGGAACTGAACTGGCTTGACACGTGCAGACCTGAGCCCAAGTGGAGCCTGAACTGGAATTGTACTGGTTGATTACACTGGTAAAGGATTAAGACTGCAGTTACCAGACTTAGCTGGACAAAACTAGACAGGCTCCTTGTCTGCAGGTCTAGTTTGTCTATTCTTATATCCACTGCTTTCCACTGGATTGGACCGCTGAGGACCTTAAGGACCTTTACTCCAGTCCACTTATCAGGTGAGTAATCTGCTGATTAGCCCCTGAACCCTCACCAAACAAGCAGCCAAATGGGAAGTTCTCTCACCCAAAGAATGGGTCTCATTAATTGGCGTGACATACGGTGACCCCCAGGCATTCACCTTGGCTGTCCACCAATTTTGGATCCTGCCCCATAGTTTTAGACAGGCTTCCACTTTCCTGCTGCAAGAGCTCTGTAACCTAATGAGGGCAGCGCTTTAACGAGCACCATCTAATTGCTGTCAGGGAGACAATTAGAGAGATACCTTGGCAAAATAATCTGCTTTGTCACTACTCTCCGCTGACAGTATCACAGCAGACAACGGGAATGCAACTCCATGCCCCCATGTTTGTTTCTGAGTCGCCCCTTCTCTCATAGTTGTCTGTCCATATGTATTTTTGCTGTCTGCCTGAGGCAGTGATCGAATACTGGAGGAAAATATAATATTTTGGGCAAGGATGTGGTTTTGAACTAACACCACAGCCTCAGGGATGGACTTGATGTCCAAAAGGGGGGCTTCACCATGGTTTCAGGCTTGACAGGGTTCTGAATTGCAAATCTTCCCAGTCTAGTTTAAATTTAATATAGTCGATGTCGTTTTCCCTTAAGTGGTAAAAATTCTGCAATGAAGCTCTCCACTTCTTCACCAATAAACCAAAAAATCTGCCAGTTATAGAACTATCAAATGTTATATACCTGAATGTAGATGTTGTCCAAAAACAGCACAACTCAATAAATAGTGCTAAAAGTTTGATCATATGGTGACCAATCCTTTACATTTTCCCCTTACTACGTCATCATTCTGGGCTACACCTGATCTTTCAACACATAATCCATTAGGTTACCATTACAGTGGTCTTTCATGGACTGCATTTAAAGAAATGGTCCAATCATCCCTCCAACTACATTTGACTCATTTAGACATAACTTAAGAAATGGAAAAACCTCATGTGCAAAAGTGTATGTAATAAGCCTTCCGCCATTATTCCCTTGAATATAATTAGCATCAGTTACTCTTGTCCCTTAATTGCAGCAGTTGAATCAGGTTCATCCTTTGTGCAGTGGTGTTGAATAACTAAGTGCATTTAATCGATTTTCCATTCCCAGTATTACTTGACTTGATTGAACAATTCCAAGCAGATTTCAGTTTGGCCAAATTATTCAGCCTTGCAACCAGAAATGTACACCCACATAAACAAACTGTTGGGATCGTGTTCTGGTTAAGGAGAAAACAATGTGAAAAATGAGAGAAATGATACAGAGTTAAACTTCTGCTTGGTTTATTCAAATATCTACACATCCCATTCTATTTTTCCTTTCATTATTTTAGTTGTTTGGCCTTTGTTTTGTCAATGCCGGTCATCAGCAGACTCAAACAAAACATTGTATAATGTCTGTATGAATTATCTATAACTCAAAGGACAAGAAGCAACAAAATAACAGTGACTCTGGCTAGGTTTTGACTAAGACTATTTCTCTTGTAAGTGATGTTGACAAGATGTTTTCGGAACCTCCAATCATCTGAACTGTTTCTAGTGTAAAGCTGCACATCAATAACCAATGACAAAAGCACTTTCAGTGCTCACTCAGTAATAAAAGCAATGAATCTTCAGTCATTTGTTCTGGTCCTGTACACAAACACAGGAAGAACTACAGCAGGTACCAAAGCTATCATAGCTATCTCATTATCTACACCTATGAACAAAGTGTGCATGTGCGTGTGTGTTTGTGTGTGTGTGTTCTTTAATGACAGCTTGAACATCATGAGTGTGACTGCAGATGTCAGACACTTGGAGCTGTTACACAAACACACGTTCCCACGCACAGTTATTGCTGGTGATTGTTTAAGCCATCTTGTCTGTTTCTTACACACCGACGGACACACATACCAGATATTGGAAGAGACACAAACTAAAAGCCTGGGATAAAAATAGTTCCCATTCAAAATAAAAAAAAACTCCATGAAGACTGCATCATAAAGTGTCCTCAGATATGCTCTAAAGTTAAGAGGAGAATAGCAGCATGTCTTCTATTTTTATCTTAGCCTTTAGATTCTCTGGTTGCAGATGTTTTAGTTTAGTTTCATTCATCACGTATCATTTTAATTATAGGACAGTATAACAAGCTTATTGGCTAGTTGGGGAAGCAGGATTAGGCAATGGGATGTATTCATTAACATGATATTCTTTTACAATTAAAATGTTTCAAGGTTATACAAATCTTTCAAAGGCACCTACTACAGTAGCTCAGTGTTCTGTGCTTACATCCATTTGCATATCATCAATCGAACATATGATGGCTGATTCTGCATCACCTCCCCAGACTGCACAGTATTAGCTCAATATTGGCAAGATGATTCTGATTCATGCCTTTGTTCTGACATTTGAATTCAAAAAGACTTCAACAAGGTTTAGAATTAAGAATCAGTGATTCAAAGCATATTTTTTATCCACATCAACCTGTTTGAATCATGTGAGATTACATAATAAATTACAATGAGTTCACATTACGATCGCATTCCTTTAGAAAAACTGCCACCTTAAGCCATAAATCCTGGTTTCATTGCTCTCTTTCTCAGTCGTAAAAGTGAATGAAGCTTGGTAGATGCTCTGCAGACACCTTGATAATGATGATCATGATGAACGGATGGTACATGCTTTTCCCTCCTTCAAGACACTCTTCATTGCTCTTCTCTCCTCCTTATTCGTGATCAAGTGTCATGGTCAGAAAGGAACATTAAGGGCTGATTATCTTGACTGAAATATGTCCGTGTCATATGATTACAAGTGTAGAGAGAGTGAGGAGGCCATATGTGCAGTTTTCAGTTAGCATGACTTTGTACAGGGAACAAAGTTGAAGGTAGAGTTTGGAGAAGGAACTCATTTTTTTTTCTTTCAGAGATTTTAGCTGAACAAAATCCTGTATATGGTATTCTTAAAAATGAAGCTACAGACAGTTTATTAGCTTAGCTTGAAGCTAAAATCAGTAGGAAACAGCTAGCCAGGCTCTGTCCAACGCAACACATATTCATTTCAGCTCAGTAACAGTAGACTCAAACATAAACCAAAATGTCAATTTTCCATACAGAGTTTGTTTCTGGAACAGGCTAGAGAAGTTGCTGCCAAGCTAACTGCTTCCCTGTTTCCAATCTGTATGCTAAGCTTAGTTTATTAGCTGCTAGGAGTACTTTTTAATTGGGAAGTTACAATACACTCAACTACACACAATACTATACATATCACCATACTGAGTTTAAAATACAATATATATATATCCATTATCTAGGATTTTTTGTTTTCTTATAAAGAAATGAGACTGAAGTAATTTTTTTTGAAAGAATATGATTCTTTTAATACAATTCTCAGACAATGAAATTTTTTTAAAATGATATTAGTAATACTTTTACATGTTGAGGCTGTATACTAATTATTATTATCATTATCATTGCACACCCTCAGTTTAAAACTAAACCTATTATTTGTATTTATTTTTTGGGCTGTTATGCCTTTATCTGATAGGACAGTGGATTGAGTAGGAAACCATGGAGTTAGAGAGGGATGACATGCGGGAAAGGAACCACGGGTCAGATTTAAACCTCGGCCGCCCGCTTAGAGCATGATAGCCTCCGCAAATGGTGCGAGACCCAACTGATAGGCCATTCGTGTCCCACTAAATGAATTCTTATCCTCAAAATCTTCATTCACTTCCACTTAATCTGTATGCCTCTCTTCTTCATCTACTGATCTTGACCAACAGACGCAAAAAGCAGATAACAAAATTTGCTGGTTAAAAATCAGTGTTGCAATACATCGATTTAAATTAAATTGTCCATTTGTGTATTGATGTTTTAATTGTATTGCAAGGTGTTGTTACATTGCTAATATTTAATATTTTGTTGAAAAATATGAGATTGTTTTTCCTTTTTGATTTAAGGGACATATGTTACATTTCTCTGCCATAAACAGAGCTGTACTGAAAAGTGACATTTCGATGTCTTTTAGCACCCACACAGAGTAACCTTGCAATGACTTAGGAGACAACATAAAACATATGTCACATCTTTACAGCATTCACTGTCTCTTCATTCAAACAGTGCACGTCAACTGCTGCATAATCTAGTCTTTTTCTTACTGCAACAGCTTCCATATTCGGCCATTTTTTAAGCAACATGTAAGAGTCCCTGCTGGTAATTACTCCGTTTATTTCATTGACGTGGGCTAAAAGGGCACAGTGAGACACTTAGAGACTATATTTGTTTTTACAACCTTAATGTAGAGGAGATGCAGCAGCTCTCTCCATGTGGGCTGATGGGACATGCTTTGACTTCAATCTGCAGTGTGTCACATCTGTTGGCTGAGGTGCAGTGATGTAAGTAGGCATGGCCATGCATACATTACTGCATTTATATCAAACTGTCTTGGGTCTCATCTCTCTCACACACATGCACTTAAAAACAGTATCTTAAAAGGACAGCGGTGTTTCTCTGACACATGACTGCTGGATCCTGCTCTCTTTAAAACACATGAGTTTCCAGCTGTGTGAGTGACAAAGAGCCAAACGAAGAAAAAGGAAAGAACCCATATGGAGCTGAAATATGTGTGCCTCGCTTATATGTCTGTGCATCCTGCTGCATGTTGTCTGAGCTGTGGTGATGAAAGATACGTGTCCTACAAGAGCGTGACAAGGTGAACAATGCTTGCTTTAGGAAGGTGCAGACAAAGGCAGACAATTAAATGAGAAAAGAAAAACTTCAAAGGATAAGATAGGGGAAATATAACATAAGAGTATTCAAGGTAGAGAGAGAAAGACTAAGGATCAGTGGTATCATTCCAAATGTAAATACATGTGCAGATAGATAGATATTTACAGATTAGATAATCCGCAGCGTTGGTTTTAGTGCCCCAATATTGCTCCTTGAATTGAACTGTTCAGGGAGGGGAGCAAAAAAGGGGGAGACGGGTTGTACACGATAAGCAGCTTTATGAAGAAAAGGAGGGGA